CTGCATGCGCACGCTTCTCCGGCTGTACGACATCTACCAGCGAAAAGATGAGCCACCTCGCACAGTCGTGCAGAAAGGAGCCTCTCCTCCCGTCAGACCACAGGTGGCTGACGACGTGCTGGTGAAGCTGGTCAGGGTGCTGGCGAATATGTGCATCCACCCCGCCGTGGGTCCACCTGTGGCCGCAGACACAGCCTGCATTCGACTTCTGATGGAGACGCTTGGTGAGCACAAGGAAGGAGCAGCTTCACCTTCTTTAAGTCAGATCCTTTATTAGGTTAAGAAGATGAAGCAGTCAGCAGGCTTAACAGTGGCCTGTTTTTTCATGGTACGCAACGAAAGCAGCATGTAAACATCTGAAGTTCTGATAGGTTTAAATATAGCGGCTTAGTGCACCTTAAGTACCTACGAGGTACACAACCACTTCCCTTGTGCTGGGAACAAGATGTGACTTTTGTCAAAAACACAAAAACACACTCCATATCTGTCTGTTCATTCCATCATTCAGTTTCCTCTCAGTACTTTCTGTTTGCTGTGCAGCACATCCTCTTTCGGTTTACCTGGGGTTTTTTTTCTTCTTCTTCTTCTTTTTCTTTTTTCTTTTTTTAAGGCTGACAGAAGAAGCGCTTCACTGCATGAGCAGGATGTTCTGTGACATCTCACAGCCGACTCGGTTTGCGTGTGTGAATATCTCCCATGTGGTTAGATGGTTTCAGGACAGGTTGAACTGATACACGGGTGGGCGTTAAGCTCTGTATTCTCTGCTGCCTGCCTCCTACACAGTCAAATTTTCACAAACAACACAGAGGTCAAACTAGTGAAAAAAAGGTGGGAACATTATTAGATCGAGGGGCACATCAGGTAAGGGAGACTGTGGAGAGAAGCAACTGAAGGCAGAAACAAAAAATTACTGAGAGGTGAAGACAAAATCTGAGCTTAGAATGAAAGAGCAGATTGGGCTGATTGATGTCCTGTTTTGATAAAGATCGCGACGGGTCGAGGCGCTCAACATTAAAGGGTTTTTCAGGGTACAAAGCGGCGCTTCCAGTCAGAACCAGAAACCATCTTCCGAGTGACGCAGGAGACGGTTGACAGCGCAACCGCAATATTCACGATTTATGACCAAGCACAAGACATCTGCTGCTATATTGGGAGCAGGCCTTGTTTTCAGGCTGCTCGTGGTGTCATGGCTGGTTGCACCCAGTCACTTTGACCTTTGTGTGCCAGCTCACGATCAAACCAACTGTAGGACGCCAAAATTAACTACAGGTTGCAGTTATTTTTAATCATAATGTCACTGTCACATTAGTTCAGCAGAGCTAAAGGCAAAACTCACAGGCTGGTCACTTTAGTTCTGCAGATATTTTTTCATATTTAAACTGTGGAAGTAGATTTTAAAGGTGTGTTCCTGATGGCAGATGCACAAACTAATTTGATGTTACACTGATTTTTGTGTGTGTGTGTGTGTGTGTGTGTGTGTGTGTGTCGGGGGGTTGGTGCCACAGAGCTGAGGACAGTGGAGGAGAGCGAGGAGCTGCTAGTCAATGTGGCCGCTGTCATCAACAACCTGTCCTTCTACCAGAAAGAGACTTCTGCCATCAAACACAATCAGCTCCATATTGCAAAGCGTAAGGCCGGCAAGCCAAGAGAGGACAAAATAGATTTATTTATTTTTTTAAGTTCCAGCTCTTTCTTTTTCTTTGCTCCACAGTGATGTTGAAGTTGCTGCTCAGCTCTAGTACAGGAGCCATGCTCGAGGCCGTTCGCGTCTATGGAAACCTGTCGCATTACGAGGACGTTCGGAACTTCATCATGCGAAACAAAGGTGCATGAAAATGCAGTTTTCATACTCTTGCAGGTAGAGCAGAGACAGTGAGCCTAAGTTTACTGCAGGAAACCCTCTTTAACACATCAGGCGCAGAAAACCTAGACGCAGGACCCACCTCTGCATATGATTATGTCATGTTTAGGCTACACTTATCTGCAAGGCCAGCTACAGTCAGCATGTCCACTGAACTCTGGTGATAGCGGCTCTCTTATCTTTGCCTCTCCTTGTCTTGGTGCACTCCCTCACTCACGCTGCCATCTTCCTCCCTCCTAAGTGCACCAGTTTGTGGTAACGCTGCTCGACTCAAAGAGCAACGAGATGTGCTTTGCAGCCTGCGGGGTCCTCACCAACCTGGCTCTGGATCCTCCCAGCAGGGTCTGTCTCATGGTGGAGGGGGCTTCTGCCAAGTAAGGATGAAAGCATGCTGTGATCATCATCACTGTGCATCACTAGAGTCACTATTTTACTGCTAATTGAATTCAACATGTCAGACTAGGTGGTCAGATTACCTGTTAATTCCAAAGGGCTTAAAAAAGCGAGCATAAAAGAAGAAAGACGTTATTTATTTAAGGCTTATTTATGAAAAATATTACTAACTTTATGTACACAGAAGGCATCCTCCTTGGGATTTTGTTTTTTGGGGGGAGGGATGTGGGGGTTTCTGGTCTTTAACTGACGAACAACTCCACAGCTACAAATAAGATGTTCCTGATTATCTAGCTTTCATGTTTATCCTTGTCAGATTCGTCCAAACATACAGATGTGTAAATTTGGATTTATGAGGTTGTGGTGCAGTTCTTCACACTTTCCTAAGCGAGCACTGCTCCAACTTTTTATTTCCCCTGTATACCCACCCTTTATCCTCTTTTTAGATAAAGGGCCAGTGAAGTGGAGTTCACAAACCTCTAGGTCATGTGAATCCGCTTAGTAAAAGTCATATGATGTGTGTCTCTATGTGTGTGCGTGTGATCAGGCTGGTGGACTGTCTGAGAGACTTTGGACTGGGTGATTGGCAGCTGGCGGGCCAGATTTGCCAGGCCGTGTGGAACCTGACTGGTGGCAGCTCAGAGAAAGTATTATACACCGAGGAGAGAGAATCGCTGCTGGAGATGCTCGCTGCATACTTAGGTTGGTGTTAGTAAAGATTCACACATAAGGAGAGAAAGTGTATCCCTCCTTTTGCATAAGAAGGGAGGGACACACTGGAAATATGTCCGATTCACACCAGAGGCCCTCATAGGGAAGGGAGGGCTACACGTATCCCCACCTTCCCGTCTCACACTCTTGTCTTTACAAATTCCTTAGATGAGGAGGAGGCTCTGAATTGGACAGACAACAAGGACTTGAGAGACTTCCACAGAGCATGCTGGGAGTTAGAGTTCCTACCTGTCGCTCAAAAACTGATGAAGATGCTCCAGTCTGCAGACTGAGAGAGTCGGGCGTGGAGTTTTGTGTCAGCAAAAACTGAATTTATAAACAATCAAACACGCCACCACTTACAGCTTTGTATAGCTGGCTGTAAAGTTTTGTAGTTTCCTTCATGTGCAGAAAACAAGCGTGACCAGAGCTGAAATGAGCTCAGCCGACTCCTGCACTGTAACCCTCTAAATATGCTGAATATGCTCCACATAGCCGTCATGTTTTCCACCAAGGGTGAAGTTACAGCCAGTAAAGTTTAAAGGCTGCAGACCAGACAGGCCAATATGAAACACTTATACTGTAAATGCATAAAATGTCTCAGGTTTTAATTTTATCTAATCATACAGGTAATAATCCAGAATATAGCAAGCAGGCTTAATCTAAACTGTAACAAAAAAAAAAGAAGTGGTGTGTGGATGTGATATTTGTTGAGCCCTTTATACTTTGGAACGTATATGGACATATTTGCATATCATCCACTTTCAGTTCCACAAACCTTTTAAGGTTTATCACGCACAAGAATAATTTCAAAACACCTCTTTGCACGCTCATATGACTGGCTTTGCACTGTATTGTACAGTACATAATGTTTTAAAAAAACAACGGCTGACCGACCTGGAATTTACCTCATGTGTAAATCTTTTTTCGTTTGTGGATTGTGTGGCATTTGAACTTGTACTTAATAAAAAAAGCACAGCAGATGAAGAGCAGAAAACACATTTGCTTTATTATGACACAGATATGGGGCCAGGCAGTGCTTACAGAGTTACACCAAGTAGCCTAAACATACAGCATTTCAAAAATCACACTGTTATTACATTGAAACAAATCAGAAACGGCACTTAATGTAGAACTCCCACCCCAGTTTTCCCACGATGGTGACCTTGAACAACCACAAAACAAGCTAATGCTTCAAAACCTGGTAAAACAATCCGATAACCAGAAATGACAGCAAACATTGTTCTATACATAGGATTTCTCAGCATGATATGAGCAACAGGTGGCTGTCTGATTTATAAAAAAACCAAAAAAAAACCTTAAATAAAAAAAATAAAAAAAAACACCTTTCCTGTTTTGTATTATTGTGGGGGAAAATGTAAAGGCCAGCAGGGAGGAACGTTGAGTTTCTGCTGGTGATTTTACATTGACAGACTTCTGCGGCCTCGACTGACAGGAATCACCCTGAACTTCCGACAGACTTCCAGCCTCATCTGGAAAGCGAAACACTTTTTCCCAGAAAGGTGTGACACGGAGGCAAACAGGAAAGTGAGGTAACTTGACCTACAAGGAAATCCCCTCCTTTGAATCGAGACAAAAGGTGGTCGGGAGCAAAGAGAAACTTTAAGCCTCAACCGCACCACAGGAAGGGGGACTACACACTTCTGATACAGTAAAATGAAATTCACATCAAAGTCCCTAGACAGTAATGACAGCAGACTGAACTATACCCCTGGGTCCAGCATGCTGTTGGTGAAGTCAGCTTCATTATCAGAGAGCAAGTAAATCTCTCGTGTCAATTCACAAGTCATCTTTTGCATAACAGCGCTCAGATATGTTTACTAATGACCACGGGCAATTTAATTTCCTGTTCTTGTGCATCTGAGCGAGCTGTGAACTGGTGGTGACACCGACTGTGCTTTGAATGTTTGATTCCTGAACTGCATTTCTCCACATTTTATACAATCTTACTGATGGAGAAATACACGATACATTGTTTTGGGAAAAAGCTACAAAATGATACACAACAATTTAATATTAGTTTATTATTTTTTTTAATCTTTTTCATATATTTCCATATAAAAAGTGTCAGTAACTGACAGTCAGAAAACCTCCTCTCAAAACACTTCCAAATGTACCATTCCTTTTTCATCAGAGTCCTCATCATCATAGTCACTCATTCATCCGTCACCTGTCTCAAATCCACCCTCAGAAGAATGCAGTACTGAAATGATTAACAAACAAAACAAACAGTAGAGGTTTCACACCTCTGTTCAAAATAAAGAGGGGAAAAAAAAGCTGCTTTTGCACTGGTTAGACTTCCCCAGTGGGGAAATAAGCACAGCTACAACCTCTTGCGTTCGAACATTATCGAGCGCAGTCCACCAGGTATAGGCTAGGCAGGTCCCCGAGCAGCGGGGAGCGCGGCAGCCCAACAACAACAACGTCGTCTATGCTCACCAAAGAGCACTTCTTGTATGTTTAATAGAGAAGAACAGAAGAGGTATTCATTTACTGGTAAAATTCACAATCCAAAGCTTTTAAAAAGTGTTAGGGCAACCAGGCAGCTGGGATAAGCGGAAGACAGTCAAAAAGGTGTGGTTAGAGGAACTGGAAGCAAATCCCTCCTGAAAACCTGGTGTCTTAACTTTCTTTTTGATTAGCTTTTTTCCCTCCACATCTCCCCCTCACTGGAAAAAAAAAGAAGAAAAAAAAGAAAAGAAAAAAGGCATCATCAACAAAACAATAAAAAGTTGTCACAAAACCAGAGCTACAGCAGAAGCAAGAAGTCTTCCTTCAAAGTGCCTCGCTTATTTTTTTTTTTTTTTTGAGACGTGAAATTCCAAGACGTACTTCCCCCCCCCTTTCTCTCCATCATCTCTGTGAAAGAGACACACACACACACACACACACACACACACACACACAGGGCTCAGACAGTGTTCTTATTTTCCACACATACTTTCGGATTAGCTTACATTGACATTGGAAATTTAGCTACAAGGTAGAGGAAGGAAGGGGTGTAATGCAGTGGATTTGTAATGGACAGGGGCTCATATAGTGGGGGGTGGGGAGGTGATTTTGGGGATCAATATGACCCCACTGAATACAACATGGGAGCAGCAGCATCAGCACGTATGCACACTGTGCTGGATAGTTCAGGCACACGTTTGTTTGTTTTTTTTTGTTTTAAAAAAAAAGGAAAAAAAAAAGTTTGCGTCTATCTCCAGTTACCGCCAACAGCAACCACAAGGACAACAACTTCTCGTAATACAAAAAAAAAAAAAAAAAAAGGTATTCAAGAAACTAAAACACATAACAGTAACGACAGAATCAAAGTGCAGACTGTTTCTGGCTGCACAGCTTTTCTTTCTGGGTATTCACTCCACCAGGAAACAGGTGAGATTGCCGTACGCTGCAATACTGAAACTAGTCCCCCGGATGCCTCAGGTGTTGCAGGGCAGGAGTTGGCTCAAGGTTGCCCTCTCTTGGTCAGTTTTGGCACTGCAGGCAACAAACAGTTCGTGGATCCACTTATGTAGTTTGAGATTTTCTCCCAACAGTCATTTTCTTGCTCTCCATTTGTTCTGATCTTCTTCTCAACATCCAGCCAGCAAAGCCTCGTCACAACACCGGGCTCTCTTCAATGCATCTCTTCCACAATTTTAATTGAACATCCCCCCACCCTCCCCATTTTTGATTTATTTTCTTTAAATGTCCCAGCAATGATGACTGTAAAATTTAAAAAGAAAGAAAAAATAAAATAAAAATGGGACAATGAGAACAAGGCCCAGAGCATTTCATGTCATGTAGCGAGTGATCGCTCTCAGAGCGTATAACAGTTCTGCTTGCATTCGCGCTTCCATAAGAAGCAGATTAACATGAACCTACAGGGGAAGAAGAAGAAGAAAAAAAAAAAAAGTTATTAGAAGGCTGCACTTCACTGAGCAACTACAAGATCAAATCAGTCAATCCACCCTTTAAATCTCACCTTCTCGGAGTGCTGAAACTGCCTCCAGAAACTCTCATACATTCGTTTGGTGGTCTTCTCAGGACTACACACGATGGTCTTAATATAGATCTTAAAGCTACGGTCCAGGAGCTGGTTGATCTCTCCATAATCATAGTCATCATACCTGAATAAGACATAGCAGTGGTGTTAGTAATGAGGCCACAGAGCTGCCTGAACATTGTGTAAGAAAGAGCTCAAGTGTCTGACCTGATGCCAAACATGCAGTGTATGTAGTTCCAGATGGCCCTGCGCAGCATGCTGGTGTCCACGTCCTTGTGTGTAGCCATGGTGTTGTAGGTCAGGTTGTAGACCATGTGAAACTTCTCGTCCAGCATTTGTCCGACGTCAGGATAGAGTCGGTTGACCAGAGAGAAGCCATGGTCCTCCCAACTGTAGTCCTGCAAAAACAATAAAGAAAATAAGTCAGTAACAGTAGCACAGACCACACCGTGTTTTCACCCCACAAATCATGAGTGTTGCGTCTGATGTGCACCTGCGCTCTGAACGTGGGTACTTGCTCCCCTCTCCTGGAGAAGTCCTTGTAGCCATAACTGGGGTCCTCAAAGTGGCGCGAGATGTCTCTCGGGGGGGCTGACTCCTCGTCCTCTGATGTGACCACCAGCATGCTCTCCGTCTTCTCCCTCTCGAAGCGGGTTGCCATCTCCTCCTGGCTGGCTTCCTCGTCGTCGCGGCACTCCTGCAGCTGCTTCATCCTCTCCATCAGCACCTCCACCTCACCGCACATGTCCTTTAAGAATGCATAGTCGGGGTTAACCTCTGAAGTCTTATCACCATTTATCTCTCTGCACAAACACTGCAGTCGCCTACCTGATTGCCGAGCAAATCGTCATGGTGATTAGCGTGACCGTTGCCATTGGCTATGTCGCACACGCAGTACTGGCTAAGGGAAGGGGGTCTGAACGTGTGCCCACCGTCGCAGTGGATCTCGGGTGTGATGCCACAGCCAAAAGTGAACGAGGCGAGGGAATGGTAGTGTGTGAGCAGGACCACGGCATGGATTAGCTCTGCCAGAGACCAGCTGTGCTCCTCGGCCTTCAGAAGACCCTGAGAAGGGGAGGGGGGGGAATATGTGAGTGATGAAAGCCAAATAATGACTTCAATATCGCTGACCTTTCAAGCAAGAAGTGGAAAATATGTTTTCATCCTTCAGTTTCAAATTAAAGCCTCTCTCCCATCACGCTCGATCTGCTCTCCTCTCTCGGTCACTACACCTCTACTGCTAAAACCCTCCAATCTGTCCAAATCCTACAGCTGCAGCTATACTCTAGCCTCCACCCATGATCTCAGCTGGTTACATCAGACTTTTCACATCCACCCCTGCAGACCTTGCCTGTCTTCTCACCTCAATGTGTTCCTTGGTGAGAAGCCACGGTCGGTGGGCCAGGATTTTGTTGAGCTCTCCGAGCTGCTGCAGCTTCTGCGGGGCTTCAAAGAGGCCGTTCAACCACTTGGGATCTCCCCCAACCTGAAGGAAGTCGTTGACGTGCAGGTTGACTAAGTAGGAACACTGGTGTCTGGCTGCTGCCTGCAAGACATGCGAAAAAGCGAGATTTACGACTTTGCACAGAGAGGAAGTCGACCTGGTTTTATTCTGAGAACGTCAGAGGCTGAACCTGGCTATACCATGATGCCGATGTAGTGTCGGTAGTGCAAAGGCAGGGGTCCGTCCATCTGCAGCAGGTAGTGCTGCGTCCGGAGAAAACTCTCCAGGTACTGTGGATGGAAACCCATCACGAGGGAAATGTTATCCAGGCGGCCGAGGGCTGCAAACGCATCCTCAAATATCGATTGAGTCCTGGAGTCCACTTTACTGATTTGGAGGATCTAGTCAAAGAGGACATAAATAAACCAGCTGCTTCTTCTCTTAATTTCATATTTGAGGTCTGAAGTGAGGTTACAGTCCGTCTCATACCTCTTTTTCAGGGATAAATCTGCTTGGTCCGTTACCCAGAGGTCTTGGGATCCGTATTCCCAAGTCCTGCAAAACAAGAGAGGGAGAGAGAAACACACAAGGCTTTTAAATCTCAACGCAAAACAAAGCAGATAAACTTCCAGTACCGAGCACCACTTCTCACTTTTGCAGTCACCAATTTTTAACCCAAGCAGTGTGAGAACCCAGAGTGACTTTCTTTAAATGTTTGACACCAGTAAACCTGCAGAGAAATAGTTTAATATCCGAGTTCAGACTGTGGATGCTTCTCGCAACTATTGTCAGTGTCAGGAGCAGAATTTACGCTTAAAAGCAAAAAATACATTGACCCCAATTCACCTTTGATGGGATACCCAACACACAAAGTTAAAAACACAATAGAAACCCTTGCACTGCCTCCTTTATGCCCTGTAACTTTCCGCTGCTTGCCGAGACATGTCTAGCAGCGGACACTGTCCCGCAGCGCACAATGAAGCCAATGAATGAATGACCACTAATTGTACATTAATCGGCAGTGACACTCGTTTTAAAACACGTCAAACTCACAGGTAGACTTCCAGAAACTCAAAATGAGCAAAGAAACCAAACTCCACGGAGGGTTTCTTAGTTCAGATGATCTATAACTCCCGAGTCGCAAACAAGCCCGGACAAAAGGCTGCACTGCAGCTCGTTCTTTAAAGAGGAAAACGTCACTTTTAAACAAAAAATTAAACGCCACATAAGCTAGAGAAATCCCGGCTTAGATCACCGGAGCAGGCTCACCGACAGCTGCCTTTTCTTTTTTTTCCCTGTTTCTACCCCCCTCTCGTCTTTCTCTTACCTTCTTGCCCAGCCGCTCACAATGGGTGCATATCTTGAACAAGCCTGTCACCGCAAACGAATGATTTTCCACGTTTTCTGCCGGTGCGACCGCGTGCCTCATCTCGCGTTCTCGCTGCACCTGTGTCGTTTCAGCGGCGTAAAAAAGGCGAAAACATGTAATTTTGATGCCTGTCGCCTCCTCTCTTTGTTCCTCCGGGCACTAGGCACAGCGCTCGGCTGTCAGCTGTGGCAGCAGAATGCGCTCCTCTCTCGCTCATACATTCGGTAAATAAGTCGGGGCTCGCGTGATCGACGCGCTCGGCAACCAATCGCATGAGGAAAACAGCCTCCGGCCAGCCAATGGTAAATCTGGAGGGCGGGGGTAAAGCGCGAAGAGGAGGAGGAGGGGTGCGGGTGAGCTGAGAGACGCCCCCCTCTAAGAAAACATCATCACTTCTCTCTTTTTCTTTTGTTCCCTGCTGCCAATAATTATGATTGCATTTACTGTCATGTATTAAGCTCTATGTGCCGACTGATACATGCAATCAGTACAGGATGGCTTGAGGCTGAAATCAATACCACCCTGTCGCGCTTATCACATTGCAGGAATGCTTAAAATAGTTCTTGCTGACAAAAATGGAGCTTGAACATGGAGTCTGCGTGGGTTAATCTGGGAGTTTATCTGTGCATTCAGGGAAAACAACAACCACTCAAAGCCAGCTCCAGCATGCACCACCACCTTCCCTTGTTGCTGTACTGGAGGGCAGGGGGGTGTAAGCTGAGCCCCCAGCTCGCCTTGAGTAGTGGAAACAGAAAAAAAAAAAAAAGAAGAGGTCCACTGTGCAAAGATCATCGAGATGGATCGGTGCAGGACCTGCTGCAACAACAGCCCTTCAGTTGGTGGTTTTTCACCGCAGCCTATCGCACCACAAATGCTGCCACTTCTCCACCAATCAGGCTGACCGAAGGAGTTCTTTTTTTTAAAAGCCAGGAGGAAGCAAAGATAAGAAAGGCAGCTCTCTTATGGCTTTGTTTATCCCAGCCGACAATAACACATTCAGTAGAACGGCATATAACTGGTTTATCACATCGCAGTGGTTCACAAAGTCAATGATTACTCAGAGGGATATCACATGAGACCATCAGGAAAACAACTGTGCGCGATGCAAACTTTATATTTATACATCTGATTTCATTCACACAAGTTATTTTTATTTTGTTTTAGGTGCAAGATGCAGGGCATTTATATGTGAAAATCTTTATGAACAGGAGGTAGATGGTTCAGCAGCACATGTGAGTCAAATGTTGTTTCTTCTGGACTGCCAGCAACCACATTACAAAAGCACTAACGCATCCACAAAGTGGCTGCAAAGACACACAGACAGACACACGATATTTCAAGATAACATGTTTCCCAAAGCAAATGGAGCTTTTCTTTTAAGAGATTTCACACAAACTCTTTTCATGTGGACAAAAGTTCAACAGTGTGCTTTAAGTTTTAAGAATCCATAGAGTTTGACAAACTGTCCTGAAATTGGGTAATCTTTACAGCAACAAGTCATGATTAAATCAGCATTCGGACCGACTCTGGAGGAAGAGCCAATAAAAAAAAAACAAGCTAAATTTAGAAAAGATGAGTAAAAAGAGGAAGTCAAGAAAAGGCAAGTCTGACCCTGCACTCGCCAATCAAGAGCCTGCCCTGCCAGTTTGTCAACCCACTACAAGTCCCCAGTGCTGATAACGCGATAGTACGATGTTCAGCAGGTTCATTGTGTGTACCCCGCACCCACTTCTCCTTCCTCCACCTTCATCACCAACACTACCCACTGCCACCACTAACACCACCTCTGCCAGTCCCTCTCCTGATGCCACAGGGTGGGGTGCAGGGCGGCAGTAAACATGTTCCCAGGGCTGGAGTCAGCACTCCCAGGGCTGCCGGGAGCCCCATGGCTCAGCAAAGCTGCAGAAGAGGCTTGTCAGCGTTCGGGCTGACGACACACCAAACCTTTTCACATAAAAGCGCTTAGGCGCGGGGGTCCGGCCTCGCAGACAAGGCCAAACACTATTGTCAGAGTCCACGCACCGACTACGCAGTAGGCTTTACTGTACTCACATTTATGGGGGGAGGGAGAGTCTCTGTGATTCAGGGAATACTGTACATGCCCCTACCTTGATTAAGGCCATGATTTCTTTGGGTGATAACAAGCTTTATGTTGGGGTTTTTTTTAGTCAGTACACAGTCCTGAATTACATAAACAACACACATGCTTTTTAACACCGAGCAGACTCTTCCGAACCGCTAAACCTTGTGTGTTTCCTCATTTGTCTTGGGTGTTGACACAATTTAACAAAACCTAACTGAACTGCTCACCTCAATATGTGGCGCCTCTAAGACTTTGTACATTCCCGTGTATCTTCTGAAGCTGATTCAGAACACAGTGTGACAACTAAAAAAACCACACTGCAGGTGTCTCGGGGGAGTGTGAGGACCTACATCTCTAAGCATCTCAGTAATTGGTTTGATGTCAGCGACAGTGACGTTGATTTGCACGCTTTGTTCTTGAATGGCTCACTGCTGCAAGAGAAATAAGGCCACACATCCAATGAACGCTTTAAATTAAACTGAAAGGATTACTAGCTGTTACTGGGTGATTAGCAAGTGACCTTTGAGATTTGGGATGGCCACTGACCCACTCTGAAGATGTCACTGTGTGTGTGTGATAGGATCAGGGTTAAGAGAACACTGGAAAGATTAGTTATAATGAAGGGAAAGACTTCTGCAAACAACAGGAATCATCTCATATTTGTTTCAGATACTTATCTGCTTGAGGAAGGGCCCGGAACAATGGACAGACTTCCACTAGTTACACTAATGGTAATAAAAAATATTTCTATGAACTTTCATAGTCAAGGGATGGGAAATTTTTTTTTTGTTCATAAATGCTTGTTTACATATTTTAAATGACATAAGACTGTAGGCAGGTACAATTATTTAAAGCTACTTTGGACCACACAATGACACCTAAAGGTAGCAAGAAAAGAGGTGAGTAAAAAAAAGAAAAAAGAAAAAAAAAGAAATGTAAACAAATTCAGGTCAGCGTGAGCGATTAGAAATCCGAACACCAAATAAAACCCTGGTTAGCCTCTGGGTCTAAAATGTCACGCAGTCACTCGCCACTAGCAGATGGCACAGAGTTAAACCAGTATGGTTTTACCCAATACAATATTTCTATGTGGGCTGAGTTACAGGCTTAGAACCACACTTGGCCAATACGCAACCACATGCAGTACAGCCATGTGAAAGTTAACCTGTGAGGAACAAAAAGGCAGCTTCAGACTAGCGGTCCGCTAGTCTTAGCCACGTTTGGCAAACCCCTGTGGCATTGTAAACATGCAATGTGTCTCACACACTTTGGTGGAATTTGTCCTTTACATTCTCGATTTCACTGTTTTCTGAATGTTTTCTTACTTTTGGACCAGTCGAATATGGTCAACAACAATACCCAGTTAGGTTGCAGCATTTAACTTTTACCCCTTGAAATCCCCACCACTTTTTCCCCATCAAGTTGTCAAAGTGTGCCAAAAAATATCCCCCATTCAGTCCATTCTCTTTAAACCTTAGAGATGGATGTGCAGAAAAAACCCAGTAGATCAGTTCATGAAATATTTAGACCAGCTTTAAATCACCTTTCTTCCCCAGTCTAATGCTCAGTTTGAACTTCAGCATATCGTCTTGTTGTTGCCATGTGATCGGCGGATTAGATATTTGCATTGTGTTATAGAAGTGTACTTAATTAAGTGTATAAGCAAACTTTAGTAATTTTGCTTTTACTAACATTTTCATGATACCCCTTTTTTGTGGCCAGAGGCTGTTGATCAGAGGGTTACATAAGCTTCCTTTAATGCATGAAACGGGGGCCATCAAAGCTTGTGTGCTTTGTGCATGGGAGCATCAGCTTACACATTTAAGAGAAGGAAGCACAAAGCTAACAGTGTCGAAGGAATGTATCGAGCCTGTGAAAAAAAGTGGATTATGTTCCACAAAGTTATTTAAATGCTTTTTGAGTCTATTATGCCTCAAAAACAAAACTAAATACAAATGTTTTACAGCTACTTCAACCATACAAAGTGCACTGAAGCATAAAAGAGCACAGAAAAAGGTGTAAAGTTCAATGACACGGAAGAGTTCAAGGTTTTAAACTGTGATGGCTGTAGAATAGAGTTCACATTTATTAGTTTAAAAGAAT